GGGAAAGAGACTTGGCCGACATCGCAAAGCTCGTCAGTGGTAGAGCTGTGGGTACGAGGAGGGGAGTTTGCATCCTCACGCATGGATCCGTCCGTCTAAATGCTAAACCACATTCCATATTGAGGTACTGCAACTCCATTCACCCGACTACCTCTCGCTGTCCCTGCAGTTCCAACCGGACACGCTATTTTGTCCTTCCTATCCTGAGCCACCACCTTGTGTTGCAAACGGTAACCAGCTATAGCGCTCTGTTATAGCCCCTAATACTATAGCCCTGTTCATTCAGAAAGCAGCGCTCCTTCTGGCTTGGAGCGCATCTGCAGCACCAGTGATTTTCAGGATGTTGCAGTGCGTATCTGTGGAGGCAAATTTAACAACTGTTGCTGGCAAATGTAGCCCTGACTGCATTCTGCCTCCCTCTAGTCTTGACACTTGCGGGTACATTATTCCTCACCAAAAAGACTCCATAAAGCATTATTTTTGATAACTTATAGGAATTGTCAGAGGGAAAAGGATTTTTCCAATTTGGGTCAACCACAGAAATCTAATGTTAGTGTCCTGCAGGGCTCTGTTGCAGACCCAATATGATGTTTAAGTCCCTGGCTCTACATACAAAGCTGATTCTTCCACAAATGTGCCTCACATCACTGAATAGGACTTATTGCAGAAATAAGGAGCCAGGGAAGACACATCTAAATCTTCTTTAGTCACTGGTACTGACTGCAATGACTAGATGCCTTGAGAATGGGAGATATAAAAAGCACAGAAGTGGCAAAAAAAAACCATGCAGAAGAACAGTGCCACAGCAGCGATAGTAACATTTTGGATGAGAACAGCTCTTGCAAACCATATTTGCAGCCACTTATCGTGAAAAAAATTAAGCTTTTGAAATGTTTCATGTTTGTCCCTGAATATCTGGTAAACCAGGCCTATTCTTAGTTATTTGACACTGTAGAAACCTTGCACTGTCCACTCTCTGAACATTTTTAGAGGCTTTATTCCAATAAAAATATGACTTATTTTTTTTAATTTAAAACTTGTAAGGGCAGCCCACAGTGACAACTATGGGAGTATCTAGGATTTGGAAAAGGAGGGTACAGGCGGTGCGGTACATGAACACGCAGAGAGAGATGATGGCACTTATCAAAGCCTCAGTACCACGAAATTCAAATTCAGCATGTTCTGGAAGAGGTGAATCTAACAGAAGCAGCTTGCTCCTGATGTGGATTTTAACATGCAGCACAATGGCTGCACAGAGAGAGAACAAGATGGATGCGACTGCACCTATGTGACCTAGGATGCACTGGGGATGTTTCCACACACTATTGTTTGCTTTTCATTAGGAAACCCACACCAATCACTCACGGCTTTTGTGGCCAAGGAAATTAAATGCAACAAACCTAACAAGTTTCAAGAAGCATCATGGTTAAATATTTAAATGAACAGCTATCAAAGTTATAGCATCCCCAGGAATGGTAACTTAGCCACGCTGCACATATATATATCTAACAGCCTTCAAATTCATTCAAAATACACAAGAAAAGTTGCTGTTGGAACCTTAACTTTGCATTTTCTGGCTTTAGTTGATCTAATAATGCACTTTTCTGCAGAGTTGCCTGTCAGAGCCTTTCTGTGCCCGGAACCAATTTTGTTCGTCAAAATGAAGACTGGGTATGAAACAAAGAACTATTTGCATACTTGATTTAAAGGAGCTGATTAAACCTCATTGAAGTGTTCTGCATATAAATTACAGCAGTGATAAAAGTCACGCTTATTAAACAAGTTGGGGATTTTGTCTGCCCTGTTAAACTGGATCATAGGCTCTTGAAATAATGTAAGAGTCGTCTACAAAGTCCCCATATTTGATGTACAATGCAAACAGAAACTGAGGCCTTTTCCATTTTCAGTGCCTCAACATTTCTATAGGAGTGAACAATTCAACACCAAAATATATCAAGCAACAACATCTATCCTATAAAACACTAATATCACTACTGCCACCACTCCCTCTGCTCATGAAGGAAAGAAACACAGAAAATGTAATAATGGTCCAAGTTTCCAACTCTCTCCCTTTCTGTTCTTCCATTTCATTCTGTTACAGTGTGTGGTAAATTTAGAGGAAAACCTGTTTTTAGATAACATGCAATTAACAAAAATGAGTCTCTCTCCAGTTGGGCTGAATTCAGCACAGCAGTGTGACTGGTCATGATACAAGCCCTACCTATGCCTCTCTCCAAGTCCACGGTGCTAACACTGTGCCTGTGTAACTCATTAGCTAATCGCACTTGCTGGTGAAACACTATACTCAACAAGCAGCATCAGCATCACCGAGACAACAATAAATGGAATAATCACCACCCCAGTCAGCATTTATCTTTGTTCTGTGCGAATAGCCTCACAAACAATGTTTGCGTGCGTATTGCTCCTCCCACTTTCCTAGTGCCAAAGCTATTTAGCTGGTCTGTAGTTTTCCTGTAAACCTGTAGATTACAGGGAGGGGAAAAAAACCCATTCAAAATGTTCCAAAGACCAGGCCACGAGGTCCAGTGAAAGCCCCAAGAACCTTCCTAACTTAAACCATCCCCTATTATAAAGTTAGAACAGGTTGTGTAATATCCAAAATTTAGGTGAATACATTTTGGCAACCTTTTCAGGCAACAATGCACACATTCCAAGGTTTGTCTTTCCAACAAATTAAATAAAATTCCCATGTTACTTCCTGAAGGACAGACCTGGGATGGCATACAAGGTAAGGGGAAAGCAGCAGCTACACACAGCCAGCAGATAGTAAGAGACCTGTGGTTTGCATATGGGGACCCTGAGAATTCAAATGGGGGGGAAAGGGTGAGGGATAGCATAGACAGCAAGTGTAAGTACCAACATGAGAGCGAGGAGGAGGAAGGAAGAGCTAGCTCCTATATTGGGAGTCTGGTGGACAGAATTCGCCCCCATCCCACAAGCCTCTGGGGAGAGGGAGAGGAATGAGCTGTACAGTGTGGGAGGGTGACAAGGGGGGTAGGACACAACTGCCCTTTTAAGTACAGGGGAACTGAGAGATGGCTACGAACAGCTTAGAGGAGTTGCAAACCTGGCGCTTTGATAGAAAGAGAGGCAAGCAATTCCTCTGATCTATTTGCTGAGCTGGAGCCAGCAATAAAAGGGAAACTGCTTTTCCCTTTAGCATCTTCCCCTTGCTTCAGACCTGGCTGTTGCATACATGGAACATAGTGGGTAAGGGGGAAAAATTATTTTTCAACAGTATAAAGCAACCTCTTTTAAAACCTGCACTTCGACAAGATGGACTTTAAATCCATCTTGTGTCAGGCCTACCCTGGATGCTTTTTTGGTAACTGTTCTTGTGGCCCTGAATCAGTGCTGCATGCAGCAAACTAACTGTCAGACCACAGATGCAGGTTATTCACATGGGGCTGAACAGAGACCCTCAGAAGGGCTTAGAAACTGAAAGCCAGGTGGCAGGGTTACGCAGAAGTGGTAGACAACAGGGGAAGGGTCAGTTTGGAATATCTGTTCTTTTTCCTTTGTTGAAAAAGTGCAATTTTAAGACTGAACATGACTCGCCCGAATGCCCTGTTAAGATTCCCAAGCAAATGTTAACTGGACGCTGTTACAAAAACACAGTAAAGCACACAACCTGCAACATAATTCAGCACGCTGTGTGTGTCAGAGAGAATGTTTCCCTTGTCCATTTCTGAAGCACCTCAGTGGAACAGTAATATTAAAAAGTACTAAATTATTCTGTAACAAAGGTGTTTCTATAAAAATGCCCCAAAACTGCTTCTGATGACACTATAAAAAGCAGGTTAGGGAAGCCTGCAACAGCAACTCTGCTCTGAATGTCAGCCACGTACTTACAAAAACAGTACCGAAAACTAGATAGCAACCATCCTTAAAAACCATGGTCAGTACATGAAAGGACCAGAGAATACAGGGAGAAGGAAAACTGGCTTTGGGGAAAAGCGAAGCTGAGCAGACATCACTGATAAAAGGCTAATGTTAGCAGTGCTCGCCCCTTATTACCTGAGGTGGAGTAGGTGTGGAGGTGGGTCTCACGATGGGAGGCGTAGGGTTTCTGCTGCCTCCTCCGGACATAATTTCTTCTGTTATGTCTTTGCCCCCCTGATTTGGATCCCGGATTCGGATCTAGAGGATTGAATACAGAAGTATGTCAAACTCATTAGATAACAGCATAGAGGGCAACAGAGGCAGCAAGTAAGCACAAGCCACATAAATCTCATAACATGAAGTATTACATATAATGGATTCTGTATCAAACTCAGCTTCATTAACCAGACCTGTAACTGCTAGATGATAGGGCTCTGGTTTAAGTGACTACTCTTTGGGCATGAGGAAATACAGTTTAACTGAATAAGCTTCAACAGGGCAGTATATCCATAAGTCTTACATCATTGTTTAAGCAACTTGTATCATTGCCAGAGCCAGAATGACAGTAAAACAATTAGAAAAGGTATCACTCATTGTGCATGACCCGTTAAGTATACAGTTTTTCATGTTGCAGATTAAACGCACTAAGACCTGGAAAATTTACAAGACACTGATCTGCCATAAAAATAAACCTGGTTGTCACAGGCTGACAGGAAAGGCAAAGGTGAAGGATTATCAATGAGGAGGTCCAAATGCATCTCTTGGATTTGAAATCCAGTACTTCTGGCACCACCTGGGTTGGCAAGAGTGAACTGGGGGTGGTTCAATTTCCCACTACCTTAAAAAAATACCAACCCCCCCCCACACACTGGGGAAAAACAGTATCAAAGAAAATTCATAAAACCCTTGAAAACCTTGTGAAATGAAACACAATGCACATGTTGGATAATTCTCTTTGCAACTGTATTTAATCCTGGAATACAAAAAGCCCGTATATTGTCCAAAATGAAATGTTAACAATTCTGTAATATAAGAACACGCTAATCAAGTCCTCCGCCCACTACCTACTTATGCGTACCACTTTTGTATCTACTCAGAGATAGATACACTTAAAAACCAACATACTTGCTTTTTCAGCACCAAATTTATATAAAAAACCATGACCAGACTAATTCAAATGTGAATGCTTGGCTGATACTGAGCTGTTCAGACAGGAATGTAGCTCTTTAAAAAAACTGACAGCATTCTGAACTCAACTATTCCACTTTAAATTATTTTATTTCCACAAAAGTGGAAATAAACTGGAAACTGAAAATTGTGTTATAATCTCCTTCGTGTACTCACACTTGGGTAGAAATCAAGATTTATCATTTTAAAGAACAGGAGACAAAAATGAAAGAATTGGGGACTCCAGTTCCATCCTTTTCTAGTTATCTAAAAACCTATGACCTTCTTTTGGGATCATTCATATTGGGTAAATAGGTGGAAAAAATTCCAAAGCTTTATTGAACAGCTGTTGGATGTTGACCTTGGGAGCTTCCAGTAATATGTTATTAATTAGATAATTTTAGATTTCCATTAATATTGAAACACTGGTGCCATTCATGCGTGTTTGCCAAGCCTCTCCAAAGCCTCCTTCAATTAATTTTGTAAATTCAGTGCTATTTTGTAGAGACCCCTATAGGAAATGGGGACTATGTTTCAAAGTCCCTCTAACACTCAATGCAAGGTCTTTATACTAATTGGATGGAGGTTTAAAGAGATTCTTCCTAAAAGTTTTAGCAAGTGTCACTGGAACGGGCCATCAATCCTCTTTTTTCAGTCAACAAAGTACAAGGCTAGCAGTAGCTGCAGCACTTTTCAATGCAAGCTTTATATGGTGGATTATCTTTATCCTCAGGTCTCTCTCACACATACTCATTCTAGCGAAGAGGAGTGAACCAGAGACGTTCTTTTATTGTTTTTATTTTTTTTACTATCTGACAAAATAGAAAACAGGGGCTGATTTTCAGGGGAAAGGTACATGTGGTATGTGTGCAAATGCAATAAATTGGGTACCTAGGGATGATAGTTATCTTAAATGTGTCAAGTATGACAGTTCATGCCCATTAAAGAAATAATGTAATATATTTAATTTAAAAGAGGATGTACTAAACAAATCAGTTATGACAAACACAAATACAAGCAAAGAAGTACACCCTTCAGGTTCAAATTCTACCAATGTATGAAAAAGTAACTATATTTATGAATTAATAATATTCAATTATCAGACATAACTGAAGAACAACTATAGTAGTAATGAGATGCAAAGTTTTATGTTAAATGGATTTTTAGCCATTTTTGCACTGATGTTACCTGCAAGTATAGACAAAGGATTTCACTCTAGAGGACTGGCAAAGACTAGCTACAGCTTGGGCAGTGGCAACAGAATATTCTCCTATAATGCCATACAATGAGATGCTTCAAGTTGGAGTGATCAACTCAGTGGGTTACAACACAGTTTAATTTCTCTACCCATTCAGTATCTTTTAATTAGGCTATTAACACAGTGGGAAGGCAATTACGACCAATCCTGCTGATATCAGTAAGAATGGTACTTGTTCACTGCCATTCAGGCTGGGATCACAAGGGAAGCCAAAAAGCCATGAAATGATGGTAAGTTTAGTCTCTTTCAAAGTGGTGGAGAATAGGAAGGAAGTTTCACAGCCCCAGATATTTATGTACGTTCCTTACCCACAAGCTCAAAGACAGGTTTGAAGTATTGTTTCTTAAAAGTGACAGAAATCAATCCACACTTGCAAAATCTGACAAAAATATTTATATTCCACTCTAGTTAAGATGTTATAAAACCAAAAAAGGGGTTAAAATACAAAAGTGGAGATAAGAAAGCGTCAACTATAACAGCAAAATGGAGCAGTCAGCTATAAAAGCCCCAGAGACGCATGAGAAGATAACGGTCTCATCTAAATATACCATTTATATCAGTGGTTCTCTTCAATGTTCACACCTTGCCATATACCACAAATGGAGCTCCCAAGCTAAGTCCTAATAAATTAGGCTCTCTTACCGTTTTTTTCTCTCTCTTAGCTGGGGGAGGCTGCTGCTGCTGTGTAGGCACTATGATGGGTGCTGACTGATACACTGGCTGACTTGGGTAAAAAGGGGTGCCTAGGAAATCACAAGACAGAAATAGTTAGTTCATTTGTAAATGAATAAAATTGTCAGTTGGAGAAAACCCTTTGGATCCTCCTTCCACTGGAAAGGGCGGGCCATGAAATAATGAACTTAAACTGCAACAAGGAAAATCTATGATCGGTATCAAGTAAAATGTTCTAACTCTATGTTGGTTAAGCTAACTCTAAAGGTGGCTAAGCTCTCCCACGGGGGGCAGGACACAAAGTCTGAATTGTAGCATGGGAGACTGAAGTTAAATATTAGAAAGAACTTCTTAACTACACAGTAAAGCACTCGAGCAGACTTCCTACCGAGGCTGTGGATTCTTCCATCGTTGCCTGGAACAGGGACGAACCTATCTGGAGTGAGGGGCTAAACTAGAGAGTTTCTTGAGGGTCTCTTCAGCCCTTTTTCCCTATCGTTCTTTAGAGAAATCCTACTCTCAGTACATTTCTGGAGTAGTCTGTGTGCTCCTCCTTTAAGAGTTCTGTCAAATAAGCAACTGCCATCTCAAGACTAAATCTGGAGAGGAGAGAACTTACCATACCAGCAACTGGAGTTCAAGATCTGTTCTCGGCATACATACTTCACTAAGGAGATGTATGAATCTCAAGCACACAAGCTTGTGAGACTTTTTTGTCCTGGTATTACCATATAGTACATGCATGTCCCCCTTTGCCTCATGCTCTTGGACAGTGGCATAAGGGTGCTGTGTGCTTCTTACTTCTTGGTTTCCTTTCAGACTTCCAGGTACTCGTAAGACAGTTCTGCTTTTTATCAAGTGAAGACACTGAATAGCACAGGTAGCCATCTGCCCTGCACTCGCATCGAAAATCACTCGATTTATTCTTCAGCTAGGCTAACATTCAATGGAAATAAAATTATTGTATGGCACTTCCTCGAGGAATTTCCTAACTGTATCTGTGCATGATATACCAAAAGGTAGCCTTTCATTCATGCAAGTGAGTAGTGAAATCCAATAAAACAAGCAAACCTCAGCCTAGTGAAATTTAACCTATAACTTGCACATTCAGTTTGTGCTCCTGCAGTGGAAAACCAGAACGAAAGGGCCTGAAGAGGTTTCTATTTCTTGGCTGAATACCTGGAAGAGGCGGCTGCATACCAGAAAGCATTTAGAAACTCCTGATTTTAAACTGCTAAAAGTTGCAGCCACTGGTGGAAACTGCAGGTAATTCTAACAAATAACGTGGCGGTTTGACTTAATTTCTTCAAGAGGAGTTTTTTGGCGTTTTTTTCTTTCTTTTTTTTTTGCAGTAGCTGAATTTTCTGCTATCTATGTAATTATTTGCAAGGTCAACATCACAGCAATGAGTAAGCACCCTACAAACCTTATTGAATTTACATTCACAACTCCCACATGGAAAGGAAGCATTGTCTTCCTGATTTTAAAGATGGGAAACTGAAGCAGAGAGACACAAAATGTTCTGCCCACAGGCACAGACAAAATCTATGTTAGGATATCCTGAGTTATGGCTGGTGTTGTCACCACAAGACCCTACCCCCTTCTCTCGTGTGGCAACATCAGACTGTTTTTTCGTGGATGTGTTAAGCTAGCTACTTCAGCTTTGAGGCCAGCATGCTATGTGACAGGAGGAGTTTGGTTAACAAGAAGACATGGGATCAATGATTACACTCCTAGAAGGAGTTCAGTGTACTGATTACATAGGTGCTTTGTTCCCTTTGACCAGATATTCATGGATCACGTTATAGATTATTTTATTAGGAAAGGCCCGCTATGGACTTTAATGGCAAATGCTTCCTTTAAAAGAAAAAGGTTAAAAAAGCAAATGCTGAAAAGCAAGAGCAACCCTTGAAAGAAATACAGCTGCCAGCTGGAAAACAGAGGCTTCATCTCTTCTCTATAGTGAACCAGTCTTCTGCACCTACTGCATGTTCATTCCCTGTAGTTCAATGCTCATCACACTTCACCTTCGTTCACTCCCACTTTGCATCTATCGTGTACCTTGTTCTCTTGTAATAACAAAGGCTTTCGTATTTAAACTGCATATTTTCTGATTGTTGCCACTGTCTAAAGTCAATGCATGATGCTCAGGATTGGCTTCTTTATCTCCAAGCAGACAAGGCATATTTACATTCTCCATAAGAAAGCTAAAGAGTGTCCAAAGTCTCCTACAGTCAGGAAGCAATGGTAGGAGAGAAATGGGTGATCAGAGGCTAATCTCTAGTCATCTAGTGTGCATGCTGGCAACCTCTTCCTTGACTAGAACTTCTTTGCCTGGCTGGAATTAAACAGCCCTCGTCGTACTGGAAGGCTGCACTCTAGATTATCATCCCTGGCCTGCTAGCTCAGCACACTGATACTCAGCAGACACAGCAACCTTAGAGCAGGCAGGGACTGAAAGATTACAGCCCTATGTGGGAAGAAACCAGGGCAGCTCAAAGAATAGAGAAGAAATTATAAGCACAACTTTTCCAAACTAAAAAAGTGAAGCAGAAAAATGGTATCTGGAGAGTTGGGAGGGACTCAGAAGCCAGACAAAAGAATCAGCAGAAAAGCAATAAATTACAACTATCCCCTGTGCTCTTCAAGTTAGAGTATCCTAATTAAACAGCAATTGCCACATTTATTTTCTGTATTTCTCTAGCAGTGTTGTTTTCTTTATTTCTCTAGCAAGGTATACAAACAGAAGTTATCTTTTTCTACCACCCAATTCATTCGGAGATCCCCAATCCAAAGGAAGTGATATAATGGTAAATATCCGGGGCATTATTCCTAGCCATATATATTAGCTGTATGTGATAGCTGAAGGAGAAAATGATTTTCAGTTATATTATCTTCCTTAAAATCAGTTTGCATTTCTTAATTTGCATATAATTTTGTTAATAAACTGGGATTATAAACCATTTAAAATCATCTTAATTTTAGTCCAATTCTAAAGCTCAACAATCGAGAATTAAATATTAAAAACTAGAAACATAAGAAGTTTATAACTAAAGAAACCAAAAAGATTTATGACTATTCATATTAAGGGATAAATAATCACTAGTGACATTCCACACGGCAAACACATTTTATAAAACGCCAAAATGTTGATATCTACAGATGAAAAGCATTATAGATGGAATTGAGTAGCAGCAGTAGTAGGATGCAAAAATCTTGAGATTTTTTAAATATTCCCACAAACCAATAATAGTGCATTTTAAAAACGACCCAAAAACAACATGACGACACATATTCAATTACTGAGGACAGAAACTGTCGTCTTACAACAGGATCATGCAGATGGGCCCCTACCGGTTTCCGAGGGGCTCTGCACAAGCACAGGGGTCCATCTGCCTAGCTCCTATTGCTGAATATGGCCCTCCATAGTAAGTAACTACTGCTGAGCTTACAAATATATATTGTTACTGCTGCAGAAGTTGCGAAAACTGATCCATGTTACTAAATTGATTCTACATTTTAAAAGGGAAATTATCAACAACTGCCAGCCACATGTAACCAATATTCCAAATTAGATGCATTTTAATAATGGCTAAATCCCACCCCCTGTGCAAAAAGATGGGGTATATACACCTCATACAGGAATAGGTTCCTATTCCTAACTGAGACCAAACTATTAATAAGAAAATAGCTGCTCTAAAAAACTACAGCATACACACTGGGGGAATGAGAGGAGGTTGCAAAGAAGCTGTGAAACAGCCACATGGAAAAGCAAATGGCCAAGGCAGGGAAGCTGTAGGAAGGAGCAGTGCTCTTCTGCTTAACACAGGATCCACTGGTGAGAACCCAGAAGACCATTCCCCTCCTCTCTTCCCTTTACCGAGGGGAAGTGATGGCCCGAGAATTAAAGGAGTCCAGGACTAGAGAGTCCCAGGCTGGGGGAAGACAGAGGGCACACAACCTCTTTGGACCTTAGGACGTGACTTTAAACTTTCTCTTGCCCTGATGGGGGGTGACTGACTTATGGGTGACAGGACCAACATGCAAGGCTTGGCCACGGCAGGTGAGGGAGGGAGTCATGCATGCTAACACAGCTTTTGACAGGGAGCCAGAGAGAAGAGTCTGCTTCCTCTTAGGAATGAATATTACTGGTTTTTAAAAGTTAAATATAATATTTAGGTTTGGAGTTCACAAAACTACTCTTATTTAAGAAAAAAGTGCACGTCTGTCTCTGCTCACACACGTCACACTAACTGTCAACATTTAATTTCTTATTATGGAACTGTTACATCTGGAGAATTCCCACAAAGTCTTTGGCCAGCCAAACGCCCCTACAAAAAGCTCACTCTGTCCCTCCACAAAATAGATCCCTTGAAATGGCCGAATGATTTATTAACCTTTTCTACTATTAGCAAATTGATCATAAAGCTGTCGACATGTTGTGAATGCTCTCCCTGTTCCTGTCATATTTGATTCAAAAGGTTATTTGTGCAACAAATATAAGCCCATAAGATGTCCAGAAGCAGTTCAATTTGACTGACCACCCAGGTTATAAAGCTTTGTTTTTTCTCCGTTTCTAAATGCCAAATAGAAGGTAGGGCAGGATGGCACCGTAGAGACTGGTTTAGAAAGGCATGAGCTATTGTAGCCCGCAACCTACTTCATCTTGTGCTAGTGTACAAGCTCAGGCCTCTCTGAACTGGTTAGTCTCTAAGGTGCCACCCTTCCCTACCTTCAGGCTAACATGGTTCAAACGGTTGAAAAATGACCAAGGCTCATCTATATTAGAGTTCTGTCAGCACTGCTATGTTAGCTATGACTATGAAAAGCTTTGCTGGCAAAATCCCCAATGTTGATGCAGCTCCGCTCCCAGAAGGTCTCTGGTGCTCAGGGAAACTAATGGAGCTCTGCCGGCAGGCGAATTCGTGTTGACAGCGTTGCATCTATGTGAGGAGGTTTGCTGCCTTGGCTCTGCTGTGGCAGCTGCAGCTGTAGGAGAGCTAAGGAGGCTGAGCCATGTCCTGTGGATTTAGCTCTTCCAGAAGAAGTTTTTCTGCCTCTAGTTATGCCAGCTCCCCTGAACAATGCGAGTTCTGCTGGCAGAAGCCACCTTCTGCCAGCCGAGCAGCAGCCATGCCGGAGGTTTTGTCCACACAGAAACACTGGCTGTAGGATGCAATCTTTTCACACCCGGTAGCCACTGTAACTCTACCAATGGAGCTTTGTTATGCAGATAAGGGGCTAAGAAATGTTAACTGCTACATTGCTATACATGTAGTCAGTGCTTAGCTTAATGGAACTGGCACTATCAGGCATTTTCACAATGCATTAATAAATAATGGCGACTGAACGGTAATTAAAAAATAGCAAATGCTCTTCTTCACACAAGATTAAGTGCAGCCATTCCCAAGTGCTCATGCATACCAAAACCGGCTAGCATGAATCAGAGGACTGAATAATAAGGACTGTGACATGTTCAATTTGAACAGCTATATGGGATTCAAACAAGTGCCCAGGAAATGGAATTAAAATATTTAAACAGATCTAACACAATAAGAACAAACCAATAAAACATGATCACCTACAGAAATACCACCTCCCACCCCCACCAGTACCACTACAACCCCTGCCCTGCTTACCATAAGCATTGGGGAATTCTCCAGGACCCGGTCCTGGATAAAATGGGCCTGGCCCCGGTGGCTGAACAGGATACTGCTGCGGAGGCCCCACGTACGGAGGACCGCTATGACGATACTGGGGAAGAGAAATTACAAGGAATTTACAACTAACTGGCAAACAACATGGCGTCATACATGGAAGCTGCAGTTAACCAGGTTGGCAACCCCCCAGGCCCCCTCCCCAAAAAACCCAACCATAAGAATGAGATGATGAAACCATGCTATACAGATTCAGATTGCTTGCCTGCCAAAAAGAATGTCGTAAGGATGAAATGCAAGCTGTATAATCTGAGGTAAAGACATGCAGGAAACCAGAGCTGAAATGCACAATACTCAATTTGATTTCTGTAATGCAGTAAGCTCATGAAGCCCAGTGCTTTATAGCAACAGCACAGGTATTAAACCAATTCAAGGGCATTTATGGTACTAGATATTTTCTAATAGTTTAGTTTCTCATGATCTCTTGTAGGAAAAGGAAACTATTTCATCTAAAATATAAAAAGATATAGTTTATGATTACCAACTCCCCTCTCTTCCCCGCCCTCTGCCAAGCCAGAGAAAGGGAGATTTAATGAAGTAGAGCTTATGCTGCTAATAACTCTATTAGTTTTCTCTCTCCACCCTTTCCTACAGTCTTTGAGGATGGCCTTTTTTAAATCCAGGTGTATTACCCAGCTGTAATAGGTTCCAGGTGCCTAGGCAATATATTACCTGTGGTATACAGTACTGGGGGCCCTGGGGCATTGGATACGGCATTGGCAGGTGGTTAACCATCATGATGTGTTGGTTGGTTTGATACACTGCAGTTGGTGTTTGTGCACCAGGACGGATGGAAGGGCTGCTGTTCTGGATGGTAGCTCTTGGAGGCTGTATTTGAGGCCTCTGAAAAAACTGGGGGAAGGGAAGTGGGGGAAAAGGTCATTTTCCCTGAAAAGTTAAAGTAGTTTCAACATCAAACAACAGCAGAAAAAAAACCCCACAGTATTATTAAAATGAAACATTCAAAGGGTTGCCACACACTCAGAAAACTGAAGGACCATGTTTATTAATCTTTAGATATGAGCTCCATATAACAACCCCCAGTTTTAAAAAGCACAAGGAAAGAGAAAAGCAGACTGAATAAAAGCGAACTCTCAAGCTCTGATTTGTAACCGTACAACCATTAGTTTGTGTCTAGTAAATTATATGCACAAGCTTTCAGCCTGGTAGTAAATGGAAAGAATTCTCTGCTAAATATATATTTTACAGGCTGGGGCTATTACAGAAAGGTCACCTTTACAAGAAATGTGCTACAGGAGTAAAAGATCAAGGAAAGTGCTCCAAAAGAGCTAACACCCAAACAACTAGGAGGAGATCAGAGATATCCCAATACCTACCCTCTTTGTCCGATTAAAATTCTGAATGAGCCATTTGTCCTGCATTCCTTCTTCAAACGGGTGGCAACCCCTCCCCGAGTTGCACCAATTTTTTCCATCACATCTGCATGAAATAATCCACCACACAAGTGTAGCCCACACTCAAAGACCCAGGAGAAAAGCAACCTGGTGAAATGTTGCTCAGATCTCACCCTCTTAAGACAGGCACCAGCATCCAAGTCATGGAAACATTTGTGGCACTAGAAGACTGACCACCTACTAAAACTTTAATAGCCCTAAAAATTAACTAGGTAAGATATGCATCTGACAATAATACATTCACTATATGATATAGAGACATTTATGCCATGCAGAACCAGTAGTTAAAATTACCTGAATGGGTCTGAATCCTCCCTTCAGTAACGAAGCAAGAAAGCAGCAGGAAACAGAAAGAAAGCCAATGGAACAGCTTATAGATCAATAGGAAGGAGTAGGTTATAACATGCACCCTAATGCACAGTTTCATTAATCTTTCTCTCCAGCTTTCTGTAATAGGTTAAGTCAAACAGCAGGAAAATACTGAACCGATATGAAATAATCTTCTATCAGAATCCCAATGGCAACAAATAATTTTTTTTTCTAGAACATCTTACACTGAATAAAATAAAATAAAAATAATAATTTGCAGCAGACAGGATACTGGAGGAAGATTTTATGTTCCTAACATCAACATTTTTTCTTCCCCTTTTCTAGCCCTTTAGAAAATCCAGAAGTGGCGTTATGTGCAAAACAGCAATAAGCCATGCTCAGCCCCTGAACCTGACCTCCAACTCTGCACCAAGGCTGGGAGAACAGGAGACACTGTGTATTCAGCTGTTAAGCAGAAGTAAGATAATCACATATCACTCTACAAACAAGACTGCTGATTTATCAAGTGCAATAAAGCAAGTGGTCAATCTGTAGTAAACTATGAGCAGGCAGAGGGGAGGGTCAATGGCTATGGTGGAGTGGGGAGCTGGACTGGGCTTTTCTAGCCCGATTTTGGGAAAGGAGCTGGCCTGTATAATTTACGGTGTATTCACTGTGAGGGGTAAGAGCAGGGTGGAAGGATCCTGGGATACGTCTGGGCCAGAAAACAACAGCAGCGATAATAATCCCTGCTCCTTCTTGAAGACTGGGAGGAAGCTAAGCAACTTCTGCATTGACTAATTTCTCCAGGCAAATCAGTGATTTCTCCCTATGTCTGAACTCCAGCTAAAATGAAGCACCAGCAAAACATTTCTTACCAAACCAATTAAATCTGGCTGAAGAACCATACCATTAATCACACTTTACAAGATGTTTTGAACCAGAAGTTTTAATTATTTAGAAAGAAGGCAGTGGTGGTGAAGATGAAAGACAAAAAGACCAAATTAGAGCCATGTCGATGCGAGTATAAACAAGGTGGTTGCCCAGACATGGGGGGGTGGGGGGTGGAAATACCTCTAGATGTATAAGAAAATGTGCTACATTCATGCTGATAGTGCCTGTAATTTGCAGGTCATCCAATGTCCAGTGAGACCAGACAGAGTGAAAACAAATATAACTTCATCCCTGTCCCCAGAGCTTCTATCTAACACTTTAATTTCTATAATCTCTTGCAATCACAAAAGTATCCCCCAAATCAGGACTCCCCAAAGACAGGCTACAACAAGCAGGTAAGTAATGTTCAAAGATCATGGTTGCAACTCTAGTTATTCTTCAGGTGTCAGCAACTGGCTTACAAATATGGGGTTATTTCTGGCCCACCAGCTACTTACAGTGGATCCT